ATCCGGGTCGGGTACGGGTTGGGGTGTTACACTACCAATAATATTATAATTAATTATTATTATTATCGTTATTTTATTATTATTATTATTTATGTTTACAACATCTTTTGCAGGCACATTACAAGCCAACCAGTGACTCAAGTCACAAACATACACGAAGCCCATCAACCCAACAACCCACTACAACTCAACCCAACCCAGTAAACCCAGTTTTAGACTCGAACCAACCCGAGATCTAGGCCCAGAATCCCAACAGTCCAGATCACCCCGAAAATAGGGTTTTACCCTAATGGCTACCAGCTGCCGCCGCCTCTTGGCTTTCCAACATCGTCCATCACTCCAGCCGCCGCTCAAGTTGATTGCTTCTCGAGCCGCTGAACGTCCCGCCCGATGTTGTCACCAACAGTGACAACCTACAGTGACCGAGACCCCATTAGTCAACAAAATCAGAGAAAAACCCAATAAAGAAATGAAAAGAAATCTGAAGCAATCTAAATGATATCCCAGTGTGAATCTAGCTCTGGCAGAAGCTTATCTTCTCGGTAGCAACATTAATCACCAAGCCAATCACAGAGATCAACATAAAAAGAGAAAAAAAAAGAGATGATAGGGGAGAGAACTATTCGGGTTTGAAAAAGGAGAGAGATGGAAAAATATCAAGAGATTCGGGGAGATATAGGGATAGAAGGTCAGTGGCTTACCTCCTGATCGAATCTCGTGAGCACTAGGGGTCGTCAGAGTCGAAGAATACGAAGAGTTCTTCATAGATACGTGGATTTTGAGCCCTTTTTAGGGAAAATGAACTCTGGATCCGTGGCTAGGGCGAAAGGGCGCTTCGAATAGTGCCCTTCTATCTCTTCTTCGGCGTCGATGAACGGCGGTCATTGTCGGCCAGCGACAGCTAACGCGGCGGACTCTTGCCGAATTCTGGGAATCCTTGGACTCCTTGGACTCCGAAGAGAGCTCTCGGGAGCTCTCTCTTTTTCTCTCTCCTTCACGCATGAGGAAGAGAAGCAAATGAGGCTGAGGGATATTTGGGCGTGTTTTCTAACTTTATAGAGACCATCGAACGACGCCGTTTTAAGGGGGACCTGGTGAGCATTTTTGTGCCTGGATATTCTCCATAAAGGTCCTTTGTATTTTGTAACATTCTATTTTAGTCATTAATATAACTTTATTTTCTTTTAATTCTAGCTTTCGTTTTGTATATGTTGCAATCTAGTCCTTATTAGCCTTTAAATATGTGTATGTATATATTTATACTGAGGTCATTGTACTTTAATGTTATTTATACTTAATCAAGATATGTTTTATTATTTCATTTTTGGTCACCGATTTTGGTGTGTTATGTATTTTGTGGATGTTTGAATTTGGTCATGACATTTGTAAATATTCTATTTTAGTCACTTTTTGGCAGTTGGTTTAATTATTGTTTGATCCTTTAGGTTTATGGTTTATTTTATTTTAGTCCTGTATATGATTTGTGGGTTATTTTGTTTATGGTACTTGTATTTATTTTAAATTGATTATTGGGGCTCTGATTTGTTCATATTTGTTTATTAGGTCTTTCCAGTTTACCAGTTTAATCCTTTAAGTTTCTGTTGTTACTATTCAACCCTTTAACTTTCTGTTATTGCTATTTTAGTTCCTTAAGCTTCTGTTTTTTCTATTTTAGTCTCATAAATTTTGGTTTTGCTAATTTAGCCCTTTAAATTTCTGTTAATTTTATTTTAGTTCTGTAAATACTTATATTTTGATGATTTCATTTTGGTGTGTAATGTTCACTTATTTTTATTTTATTCATTTATGTATGAATGTATTTTGCATATTATTTGGTTATTTGTACTATGTAAATAGTGTGTTTAGTTCCATTTAATGTAAATATTTGTATTTTCAATTACATTTATTTCCATTATATTTTTTATGTATGTATGAAATATTCGATTTTATTTTCAAGAACACGTATGCGTAGAATGAGCGTGGAAAGTACCACTTGGTCGAAGTGGTGCGATCCGGTACGTCATTTTAACGACATGGGAACTTGAAATAAGTCGGATATATTTTACTAATTAATTTGTTCAAATGATGTAATGTGTGTTATTTTAAGTGACAATTTGTTTTATTTTATGTGAATGTAAATTTCAAATTTCTTTAATTTGTATTCAATTCACGTTTTTAGTTAATCAATTTATTTTGTTGTATGTAAACATCGTTTTTTATTTATATTCGATTCACATTTTTTACATAATCGAAGGTAGAATATTATTTTACAAATGAGAAATGGTTGAAATAGCTTTCCGGACGGAGGATTGCAAATTTCAAGATTTCTGATTGAGTTAAAAGATTTTCTTTAAATAGTTAATTCTAAGCAAATTAATCAAATTTTAATAAATGAGTCTCAATTTAACTTTATATCCAATTTATGATTTCCAACATTTAAGACAACGTGTAAGCGATTCAGTACCAATTTTTTGGCGCTGTTTGGGTGCTTATCCTACCCCACACATAACCGACTCCCGAACCCGTTTTAATCGAATCTTTGGTAAAACATGCCAAATTTTGTCTAAAAATGATTTTTCTTAAAATTATTTTTAAAAAACGTTTTTAGGTATTCGACCTACATAAACCAAAGGTCGATGACGACTTCCATCAAACTTAATTCTAATTAATTCAAAATCCTCAATTTTTCCAAATAAAAATCATATCTGTTTTTTTTTAAATAATATTTAATTGTTTTTTAAAAAAAATGATTATGACACAACCAATCATAACAATTCGAAACTTTCCGAGAAACACATAGCGAAACGAGGTGTACTTGTTATAGTTATCTGCCTAGGCCTTGGATTACGATTATCTAAAATTTGTAACTTAATTTTTGCAGCTATACAAACTTTGCAACGAACATGTGGCTCCTCATGAAAGCTTGCAGATGGAGAAACTCGACAAATATCCCAATCAACTAAATGCACAGTGAAGCATTGCTGGTAGGTTTCCCCTTCTTTTTGTTTCTGATGTGATGCATAATCATCGAGTTATGAAAGACATAATTCTCTTGGAATGGGCCACATGTTGGTCATTTACCATGTATTTTTATCACCATAACAATGGGATTTGATTATATTAAATCATCTTAGCTGTTTTTCACAGACATGCACTGATTTATGGCCAACCAAGTTGCCATTGGATATCATTTTGCAGTCATATTATGCTATTACTAAAACTATTACTGCATTTTGAAGACAAAACTACTTTGTAATGCAATAAGTTTATTGCAGATTCTTCTATAAGGTACGGTGCGACGTCCCCCCACCATGCCTTTGCTTGGGACATCAAGGACCTGAATTTGTGTTAACTTTAAAGATTACCTGGGTATCTTGGTGATAGTTGTAGGTATTTAAAGGCAAAATCTTGCTTTATAAGGCATTTCTTTAAGGAGAGGGAAACTAAAGTCGAAACTCATTTACATTTACCGAAGGGAATGGGGCATAGGGTAAAATTGCTTGTTTGACAGCTGATTCATACATCTTTTGACAATGTTTTTCTACAATAATGATCGACCATAAGGCCATGGGGTCATCTTTAGGTCTAATATCTAAAGAGAGCTATTCCTTAGTGCCCAAGCAAACATTCATCTCAGTTACCACTTTTATATTTCTCCACTTCATAGGGAATAGCCCATTATTGCCTGGTTCGATTCTCGATAATGGGTTATTGTTTTTGCTTATGGAACATTCATTTCAGTAATGGTGGACCTTGGTTGTTGGTTGGCCCCAGGGTCCATCTTCTTCTCTCCATTGCCTGTTCCTAAATGGTTTGCTGCAACAACCCAAAAGCCATCATCTGTTTACCAGACATTCTATGAGTGACTTGCAGAGGTTTCGGGTTGGGGTACCCTTCGGAAGGACTATGGGGACCCTCCTTTCATTTGACATCCCCCCCCCCCCCCCCCAAAAAAACTGATAAAATAATTAAATTAGAGAATGATTTGTATGATTCAAGCACGCAACAGTTCCGCATGGACAAAAAGGAGATTAAACGGCAGAGCAGAAGGCAAAATGATTCAAGTGATGGTACATTCGATAATGCCAATTTCTATTGCATACTAATGTCGATTCCCATTGCAGTCAGCATCATTCGACATGACACCGAGGATAAAATAATCAGTATTTTCTGTCAAAATTTGCCTTCAATTCACTTACAGTCTTACTAATTTTAGAAGCAAACCATTATGAAAATCAAACCAGAAGATCGAAATCAACTATATGTACTACAGGGTTTCTGCAACAAGAGCATTAAATGCCAATGAGTAACATACACTGATACACAAATGTCCTTCACAACCATGGAAGAAATTCAATGAATATGATTGAGATTGATGGCATTTGGAATATCCCTACACAATACTTAAGTTACAAGTGCTGTACCCTATAAGATAGGTTGTTTTCTTTGATCACGAGACTTGAACACGGAATCTTATGTCAACCAGAATTTTAACGGTACAAGAACTATATCACTAGTAAATACCCAGAAGTTCAAACAGATCAATAAGGTTCAAGGGAGATTTATTCTCTAGGAACAATATCCATCATCAAATGCTCACTATTATTATTGTTTAAGCTACTCAAATACCTCCTTTCCCCTAGTGAATAAAGACTACGCACAAACTAAATGGTCTCCTTGATAAAGGAATTACTGTCATTTTAAAAGAATCGGATTCAAGCATAGAGAATGATAGTTCAATCTGAAGAGGTTGATAGACTGTCTTGTACTTACCCATATTAAAAAAAAATAAAGACTACAATAAAACTAAGAACATCAAGAATTTAAAAGGATTTTAACACGTAAAGATACACCCAGAAAGCTTTTTCCTCTCTGGTAATACAGCAGAATTAACCAAACTTACAATCATGTTACTCCACATGTGGTAAACCACATCAATCATCAACAAAAAATCCTCCTTTTAAAACTAGAACTTTGTTTCTTCCCCCCCCCCCACCCCAACAAATACCTTGGATACAAGCAAGATAAAATATAAAAAGGAAAAGGATTCAACCAAACTGCAAGAATTACCACCAGCCATAGACAACTTGTGTGTACTTATCTTTAAGCCACCTAAAGCTCCTCCTCAAGGACCCTTTGACCTTACCTTCAACACTATACATCTTGTAGCTAGCAACCCTTTTCTTCCTTTGAAACTCTGGGTCAGATGCAAAGCTCCATGATTTCGAAGAAGCTGAACCAGAAGTGCTCTTCGCTTTCTTCAACTTCAAGTCCCTGTTGCTGTTTCCAATATTATTATAGCCATTAGCCGCCATCTGGGACTGTGCATAGGAAACACTATATGACCTGAGCTCATAGGAACCTGAAATTGGTGGTGGTGCCTCCTGGTAGAATTCCAGCTGCATCATTCCATTACCGTACGATCTTGATCTGCCGTAATCTTCCATTGAAGTTTGATGGAAGACTCAGATGAGAGAATTCTTTAAGGAAATCGGTGGCTTGGTGGAGGGTTTGTTTTGGTAGTTGAATTTCCTTTTGATATTGTTGAAAGGAAAGGGGAGAAAAAAGATTTTTTTTGTGGGGTAGTAGCACAAAGAAATTATAATTATGTATTTAGTCCCTTTATTATGATGAAATTTAAGAATTAATCATGGTAGAAGGACTAAAACCATAAATAGGCCACTATAAGATGATCGAATATAATTATAATAATGGAAGTCGGTAGATAGAATGGTTATGACTTTCGAGACATGGGAAATGATTGTGGATGGCGTGTAAATGGGAAATCGTGGTGTCTAATGTTCTTTTCAGTTTATTGTTAAATTACATTTTTGTTAAAGTTTGACTTTAATTTAAAGTGATTTAAATTAATTAATATTTAATTTTTAAAATGAAGAATTTTAATTTAATTAAAATTAGATAATTTTATTAAGATAGATTTATATTTTAGATATCAAAATTTTCTTTCATCAACGTCTTGTATTTTTTTTTATATTAGTAAAATTAGTTTTCTATGTGTAGTTGGTTTTTTCTGTTTAGGTTTTTTTACGAAAATTTTGGTATCTTTTGTTCTTCTTATATTTTTTTCTTTTATATTAGTAAAATTAGTTTTCTCTGTCGTGGTTGGTTTTTTCTTTTTAGTTTTTTTACGTAAATTTTGATTTTTTTTGTTCTTTTTTCAATCATATTTATTTGTTTGTCAATAATCGTTATGATATTACAACATGTATTAAATACAGATCTAAAATAATTTTATGGATTAGTAGTTGGAAATAAATTTCTTATTGGACTAACTTAAATAATCGATCACGTTTGCTTTGAACAAGTATTTGTCTCGATTTATACGCTTTGAAGCAGTCCAAATACACAACTAGATGCATTTATTTTTCCAGTTTTCTTACTCGTTGAATGCTTGACATTGGAAGTCTAGACATCACAAGTAAGGAGGCCGAATAGGTTAAATTTTTGGTAAATCCTATCCGAGAAATATACCATTTCACTTGTTCTTGTTTCATTTTATCAAAGTATCACGAGACTTTTACATTTGTTTCTACTGAACATTAAATATGGACTACGAAATCATAGTGCTTCCTCAAGATAGGCGGCGTTCTTGGGAGCACCTCCCATAAGGTAGCCCGAGATGCTTCCGCCGACGAACGAAGCCGAATTCAACAACCACGAGCCACCGCGCATCAACCACCCGGTCTGTGTCTGATCATTTCCCTCTAGGCTGCTCTTTCTTTCTTCCTCAACAGGTAAGTCGTGCATGAAAGTCTTGATCGCCTCGACACCTTCGTTTATCACTTCCGGAGGCGGAATGTCGAGAGGATTGTGTTCCAAATTGAGTTTCGTAAGCTTGTCGAGACGGCCGAGTGTATAGGGGAGAGCCTGAATCTGGTTGTGGCTGAGATCAAGCTCTTTAAGGTTGATCAATCCACCGATCATGTTTGGAAGTTGCGACAAATTAGTGAAATTACTGCTCAAATTGAGGATCTCAAGATTCGTCAATCTCCCGATCTCATCGGGAAGGCCAGAAAGTTCATTCATGTGAGCATCGACGAAACACAAAGCACTCATATCACCGATGGAAGCCGGCAGGGATTGGATCTTGTTCAAATGAATCGAAAGCCTCCGTAGATTTCCTAAGTATCTGCCGAGATGAGTTGGCAAGCATGACAGGGAATTGAAGCTGACATCGAATTCTATCAAAGATCTGAATTCATGGTGATGTTCAAAAACAATGTTTGATTTTAACAATAAAATTAAAATTACCTGCAAAGACAAATGGTATCAGGTAATGCATTCAGTTTATTTCCAGAAACGTTCAAGCTCTTCAAGTTCCGAAGCATTCCAATCGGTTCCGGTAGTGATTCCAGAAGATTTGAAGAAAGATTAAGCTCTTCCAGTTTTTCTAATCGAGCGATCGACTCGGGAATAATCTGTTTTCTCATAATAGGTGAGTCAGATGAAAGGAAAGTTCATACAGAAAGAAAAAGGCAACATATGCCTTAAGCTCGTTAGAGGAAAGATTAAGCAAAAGCAAGCTACTTATATTCCCAAACTCCGGAGCTTCCACTCGGATAAATCTATTATTTCCGGTGGATTTCCTTCCGCTTCCTGCAATATCCTAGCGAGCTCCGCATTAGCTTCGTCGGAATTCTCCGGCTCATCCTCGTAAATCTTAACCATCAACAACACAAATCACATTTCTTCAATGTTGATAAGCCCAATCTGAAAACATAGTCACCCACCATTCCTACATCTCTAATTGACTAAAAACCTTTATCATTTCTAACAAGCACTCCAAAGGGCAGTCGCTACCGAGATAAGCCTTTTTGTCACTCCTAAAAACGAATCTGAGATACAAAACTCAAAGTAATCATCAACTTTATTCACCAAATTTTAATTGATATTCCACCAATAGCGTATGCGAATCCAGAAGAATATTACAAAGTTGCACCCAAAATATAAGTTTGAAGAATCCTCAGCGTCATTCCATTTCTTAAGTGCCATCTAAAAAGATTAGACCCCATCCACCTATTAATCTCATTACTTTCCAGATTTGCCAACTTCTTTCAACCAAATCGAAGCCTTCTCATAAACTTCTACACTAAGCCTCCACAACTTCTAAATTGCATCGTTCAATAAAAATAATTAAATTCTTAAATTCAACTAAACCTAATAGAGAATTGCTTCGGTCAATCCTACATCTTTTAGCATTGACATCTCCACCAATTATCCATCTCGAATGCCCTGACCCTCTCAACAACGCCAAAATTATTCCAAATAATCACCTGTCCCCGTCTTTCACAAGGCGTAAAAATATTTTCCAGAACCGTATCTAAATTTGATGAAGCCAAAATCGCTTTCAACTCTTTGCACGAATTCTCAAGCCTCTGCTCCTAATCCACGCACGCTCCACTAAACGATTTGCATTCTCAGGCCAATGATTCATTAGACAGACCAATTTCTCAAGTTTATTTTTCAAGCAATTATAGTGTCGTAACCGTCTTTCGGTTGGGTCCCGGAATTGGGATTCGACTTGAAAAATGTGGATTGGAGTCACCACCGACCATTTTAAAACGAATTTAGGTGGGTCGGACACCATCTTACCTGATCTGCGTTTTTACCAGAAATGTGTCGGGTTCGGGAGTCGGTTACGGTCAAGGAAGGATTAGCATCCTTGAACCGCCCTTTCGGTACCAATTAATTTTGCCGGTTGTCTTAGTTGCGAAAATTCGAAATTTAAATTAAAATTTAACAGACCCGATTCAAATTATTTACAATTGATTGATTTGAATACCCTTAAAAGATAAAAACGTTAGATTCGTAACGGAGTATAAAATCGAATTAGGATAGCAAGTGTGCAAACGTGAGAATAATAAATAAAACAAGAAAAAATGGAAAATAACAAAACACATAAAAAATAATAAAAATAAACAAAATGAATAAAATGTTAAAAAACAAAGATACAAATAAAGAGAAAAAAATTAATGAAGTAAAAAAATAAAAAAATGTAAAAGGAATTAAAAAGGAATAAAAATAATGTGTACATATAAAGTAGTATTTACTAAAACAAATAAAAATAATAAATATATAATACTAAGTAAAACAAATAAAAATAAAGATATACATGATATTAAGAAAAAAATAATAGAAAAAATAAAATAAAGTAAAAATATAATATATATAAATAAATAAATAAAATATATAATATTAAGAAAATATATATAAAAAATATAATGTTAAGAAAAAATATATACATAGTAAATAGAGAAAAATTAATACGTATATATATATATATAATGATATAAGATATATATAATAAAAATAATATAATATAAATAAAAAAGAGGAATATAGTAAATAAATAAAAAAATATAATTAAAAATATATATATAGGGGATGAAATTAATATAAAAGTAAAATTAAAGGGTAAATTTCATGGTAAATTAAATATTAAGATTGACTTAGAGGGAATATTAACTACTTTAAAAAAATGAACATGCCTCGAGAGTAGATCTAGGTTCGAAACTTCAAAACCCCACCCCTTTTTGGTCATCGGCGCAACCCACGCTTTGGGTTATTCAAACCAAATCTCAAGAAAAATAACATGCACATGCGAGAAATGAACGAATCAATGTAAAAAAGATGCTACCTTTTATTTTCTTTTCGAATCGTTTACAATAGCTTTGCCTTTGTATTTTTTTCGTGCTTTCCTCTGTATCTTGTATGTAAATCATGTGTTACAAATGGGGAGGATTACATGTATTTATAGTGAAAAAAACTAACTATTTTTAGAATCATATTAACAATAGAATCCTAATGCGACTAGACTCTTTGCTCGGTTATTGCACGTTTGTTGGTGTGGTTGTTGCTTTAAAAGATATGGTGGTGGAAGAGTCCTCATAGGAGAGGAACTCTTGCTAGTTCTATCTTTTAAGAAAATGGGTGTCTACAGCTGCCCCTCTTTGTCCTTTTTCGTGGAACGAAAAATAGGACAAAGATAAAAAGACACAAATTTTCGTTCAGTGGAGTTGAAGAATAACTCCATGTCGAATTGAATTGCGGATGGCTCCTCCGTCGCGAAGTCGAGTCCATCTTGAAATGACTTGAATCAGAATGTGGCTTCTCGTTGTAGTCCACTTTGGTCTTCTTCTCGGTTTAAAGACCTTGGCTAAAAATTCGACTGGAAAGTAATCTCTTGACTCCACAATGTGGTTGATATGCCATCGAGCTGAATGAAACCGAACTCGAAAAGTATTCGTTGACATATAGCTGAATGGAATCGAACTCAATAATTTTATTGACAGATTGTCATTCTTTCCTTGAGCTATGCTGTAAATGATGTGCCTTGGAGCTGAGCGTAGTCGAACTCGAAGGTCTTTGGTTGGCAGATAACCCTTCTAGCCTTGAGTTATGCTGTAAATGATGTGCCCTCAAAGCTGAATGTAATCGAACTTGAGGGTTTGGTGTTTCAAAAGAAACATCTTCAAAGGTTTTTTTTTGTGTTTCAAGAGAAACAATTTCAAAGGTTTTTTTTGTGTTTCAAGAGAAATTGTATTCAAAGATTGAAGTTTCAAGGGAAACTCTCTCAAAACTTGTTTCAAGGGGAACTGATTCAAATATTTTGTGTTTCAAGGGAAACATTTTCAAAGTTTATGCTTCAAGAGAAACTGCCTAAAGGGAGACAAAATATGCTTCAAGAGAAACTGTCTCAAGGGAAACTATCTCAAGAGAGACAAAATTCATTTCAAGGGAAATGTTTTCAATGTTTATGTTTCCAGAGAAACTATCTCAAGAGAGACAAAACTTAGTTCCAAAAGAAAATGTCTCAAAGGAGACGAAATTTGTTTCAAGGAAAAGATATTCAAATATTTTGTTTCAAGGGAAACTGTCTCAAGAGAGATAAAACTTGGAAACTGTCTCAAGAGAGACAATGGTGAGCACGATTCCCTTCGTCGTGAAGTTGAAACCGTGGATGGCCCCTTCGTTGTGAAGTAGAGCCTTGGAATTGGATATCATTCGTCATGAAGTTGAAATCCATGTAAGTTGTATTGTTCTAAGTCCAATATCCTCCGCCATGAAGTTGAAATTGGCTCTGGAACTGGGAAATTGTTTGTTGACAACCAGTCATCACTTTGATGTGAAGTTGAACTTGTGTTGTCTCGAGTCCAATATCCATCACTGTGAAGTTGAAATTGGTTTTGAAACTGAAAAATTGTTTGTTGACAACCAGCCGTCCCTTCACTGTGAAGTTGAACTTGTGTTATCTCGAGTCCAATATTCTTCGCTGTGAAGTTGAAATTGGCTCTGAAATTAGGAAGCCCATTCGTCATGAAGTTGAGCCTCAAATGACACGATATCCTCCGTCGTGGAGTTGACATCGCAGATGGCCTTTGTCGTGAAGTTGAGCCTTGACTTGGATATCTTTCGTCGTGAAGTTGAAACCGTGGAGTATTGTATGTTGCGGGTGGACACGATTCCCTTCGTCGTGAAGTTGAAACCGTGGATAACCCCTTTATTGTGAAGTTTGACTTTGAGCTAGATATCCTTCGTCTTGAAGTTGAAATATACTCTCGAGCAAATTGTGTCGCTTCGAGTTCAATATCCTTCGCCGTGAAGTTGAAATTGACTCTGACTGAAACTGGAAAGTTGTTTTGTTGTCAGACAGTCGCCCCTTCGCTGTGAGGTCGAGCAACCACCATGTGTTTTTGAATCGAGCATCCTTCATCTTGAAGTTGAAACTTGACTCTAAAAGCTGCAAAAACTTATGTATACAAAAAATGATAAATGTGATGCTCTTAAGTATGTCTAAGATGCATGCAACATGAATTAGATCTATTTTATCCCCTGGATGGAGTCTCGTGCTTTGTGTGCTTGTTCCTGCATATGGAGGAAATACCTTCAAAAAGTCTGATAATTTGCATCAGGATGTTGAATTCCCAAAGATGCCCCAATATTCGATGTTGAATCTCAAAAAATGCCTCAACATTTGATGTTAAATCTAAAAAAATGCCCCAACATTTGATGTTGAATCTTCAAAGATGCCCTCATTGTTCCTGATTTCTTGCTTCAGCATTGATTCTAAGCATGAGTTTTGTGTTTGAGAGCCACATGTCATTTACCATGATCCACTCTAGAGAGATTGTCTTGTTTTGAAAAAAAAATGTTTTTTTTATTTTCAAAGTTCTGAAAATATCAAAAAAGAGTTTCGAAAAATGTTTAACCAAAAGTTTTGAAAATATTGCCTCTTTCACGGTTTTACAATTGAGACAAATCATAAAACTAGAGTTCATTGGATATCAAAGAATTAATTACATTGTTAATCCTTCAATAAATTATAGCTATTTGACACGTGGCAAGATCAAATCTATTTTTGGTAAATGGTTAAGTAAGGAAAGGATAAAAAAGTCTCAGGTTATTGTGTTTGGTCAAAAGTTTGGCATTT